GCGACACGTTTCGAACCCCATGCGCCCAGCCGTCAGGGGAGAGAGTATCGCGGGCGAACGAAATCCCGACGGCTGGAGACTGAGCCTAGGCCAGTAACTGCTTCTCAAAAATAGTTATTGATTAGTAACGAGTAATATTGATCCTCAGGTTCTAGCCATTTCTGCTCTAACCAGTCTGTATCATACACTTATGACCCTCACATACCCGATGAACGTGTTAAATGGAGAGAATCCATGACTATGTGCAATAAACTCCATGACGGATGTCTTGCTCGAGTATGGAATAATAACACATTTACACAACTACACGAAATGCTATACAAGAATTCCATGGAAAACAACACAGAAAAATATTGGGTTGGAATTCAGTACCGACGATCCGCAGTTTTTAAGCCTTTTGATAGATTTTGGTGGGGTAACGGACAAAGAGTCTCATCTGTAGAATTTCTGCTAAAAATTGTGGATCTCTCAAGCGTTTTTCCATCTGGAAACCGTCGTTGTATTGCAATTACAAGAGAGGATAAACTAAAACCTATGAACTGTAATATCAAGTTAAGTTATGTATGCCAGACAGTGGCTAACGGTAAGTCATGGCAATACTTCGCACATTTAGTTAGTGAAACAGCTTACTGAACAATAGTATCTTGGCTAAATCTTTTTAAAAGTAGCTAACAAAGTCATATCCATTTCTCATCAGTATTTCAAACAGTCAGGCCACAAACTTTCAGCCTGTGAACAAGGAGAGCGCCCCCTTGTTTCCCTTGCGCTAGCCTCTTGTTGGCACTGAAGTCCCTTCCTTGTAAAGACTAAAGATGTGTATTTTATTCCTTTAGGGAAATCTTGATTTTGCTCTTTGATTGCAGCGACAACATCACCCCCTTCGGTAACTAGCACAACATCTCCTTCAACTGAATCAGCAGCAACCACAACATCTCAAACAACTGCTAGTACAGCAAAAGTTACATCTATACCCACTTCTAGTGCAACAGAAGTAACATCCAAACCAGCTTTGAGTACAACAAAAGGTATGCAAAACCAACTGCTAGTACAGCAGAAGGTGCACCTAAACCTGCTGCTAGTACAATATAACTTCTATTATTATATGACTTAGATAGTACGCGCGCTCTGATTGGCTGAAAACTGGTCCGTGAAATCGCGTGTCCAGACCGCGGGTCCGTCTTTTTCCGTATCCGGATCGGAAATTGCTAATTTGATGGTCGTGCAGTAAGTTGGATCGAGGGAATCAAGAAAACTTTGTTTATCAGATTTGAGGCTTTATTTGCAATAAAAAAATTCAAACAAAATCCACTTTTTTAATGATCTGAAAGAAAGATGATTCAATTTCAACAACTCCCGCCTTTTTGTCCACGCTCGCGTCTTAGCACTTGATTTTCCCGCTCTTTTCCGAGTTGACAGTTGTTTTCAATGCCAACGTCATCAATCCAGCTTAGAAATGCTCGATAAGTATTCGCCACAATTTAAAGATAGCCCAAAAAGGATCATATTGGAAGAAAAACTCAATGAAGTTGTAAAAGCTCAAAAGAAGCCATAACATAAGTCCACAAACTACTCAAAACAAAAGTGAAAAGCCGAAGGGATTCAAACCGGTGTCTTGGCAAGAATGAAATCCTCCTCTTATAAAGACAACTTTCCTCGATTCAATGACTTATAAAGACAACTTTCCTCGATTCAATGACTTCTCGGTTGCTGGAAAACAAAGAAAATTGTAATTCTATATTGAGAGACATCCACTTCGAAAAAGTAAACAAATCTACACCGGCGGACGCGACGATAGAAGAATCAGTGAACATTTGTGAGTAATCCGTAATAATAATGTATTTGTGTATGAAAATAAACTGAATCTTTTAAAAAAGGAGCCAAATTCCCCGTCTTTTTAGCCGAAAATTACTGAAAATATGAAGATTTCTTTGTCATTTTACTCATATCGTGAGATATTTGAGAAAAGCSTTGCCATCAGATAGAGGGAGGCAACGGGTTGCAAGTTGACCAGTGAGACTTTTCCTATATACTTTGAGTAATTCTTCKACATAATCTACGATGTAAAAGTCATATAATAAACGATTTATTAACCTCGCTTGCTCGATCTGTACGGGAAAATATCAGACCTCGGTCTTTTATGTACGGACCTCGCTGCGCTCGGACCGTACTGTCAAGACCTCGGTCTGATATTTTCCCGTACAGACCTCGCGCTCGGTTAATAACCTCTTATTATAACATAATATCAATTTACATCAGCTACAGAGAATTCCAAACCATCCGAAGCAAGCGCAACTACTCGAGCAGAAGAAAATAATCCGACAACAGCAATTAGCACAAAGCCATCAGCTATTACACCTCGCCCACTAACTGGGACAGATGAGAAGGTAGAGTGCTTGATAAGAATGATAACGATAATAAAAAAGATGATTATGGTGGAAGGGATGTGATGATGACACATATAACACGGATAGACATTAAACAATACTTTTACGTAAACCATTATTATTAATCAA